GAATTTTGAAACACCCTGTATGTTAGTATATTAAGGTGAATGCAGCAGCCTTTATAATTTTCGGACAAGGATATTTCAAAAAGTAATTTTGTTTAAAAATTAAAATTTTGCCAAAATAAATTAGGTAATATTAACTAGATATACCTATGTTTTAAAGTTTTAATTCCTTTCAGTTTCCGGGAAAAAAAATCAAATATGATAATGAAAATAAATGCATTCTTTAACAGCACTATTCTTAATATAATCCCGAAATTTAAAATCTTAATGTCTTGGTAATGATTTTTTAAAATTCGCCAAAATTAGGGGCTAAAACGCCTCGTTATGTGCTGCCTTCGGGTGTAACGCGCTTGTAACTATCGTATCGAACACTCTGTCATTATTCGTTTCTTGCAACAATTTACACCAGTTTACACCAGAAGATAGCACTTAACGAAGCGTTTTAGCCACTAATTTTGGCGAATTTTAAGAAATCATTAACAAGACATTAGGAGCTTAAATTTGGGGATTATATTAAGAATAGTGCTGTCGAGGAATGCATTTATTTTCATTATGATATTTCAAAATTAAAGCCCTTTTAGTTTTTTTGGGAAACTGGAAGGAATTAAAACATTAAAATGTATGCATATTATAGATATTATTGCCTAATTTATTTTGCCAAAATTTAAATATTTAGATATTCTTGTCCGAAAATTATAAGGGGTATGATCACCTTAAGATTGAAAGAGAATTAGCTTTAATTCATGAGATGCAAAGCATCATAATTGTCGCGTCACAAAAACCACCTGCTGCCAAGAGAAAATTTTGATTCAACAGTATTGTATATTTTTTGTTGTAAAAGAGAAAAAATTAACATTTCGTGTTTTAATAGTTATTTTTTTAATTTAATAATCTATGTGAAAAAAAAAATATTGTTTACACTTTCGAATAAGGTAACATGTTTTTCTCTTGAAAATGGCGCGTCCTAGCGAGATGCAACAAATGTAGCTTTATTATACAGAAAATATTAATTTTCCAAATTTTATAGTCAAAAAATCTGATGTGTCCAACACATGACTTTCCTATCTAGTTATTATAGGCTTTTTCTGGTTATTTTGTACAACCTATTGCAGCACCTCTATAAATGTTTAGAGGATAAATTAAATATATACATTTTCCACATAAATCTACCTCGAAACATTTTTCTATAGTTATTCATTGAAAACGAAAATACTGAGAAATTTAAATTTAGCAATTTTCCAACAATTTTTCCATTACGGTATAAACAAAAATTATAGAGATCGATATCGCAAACAACTTTTAGTTCCAAGAATTTTCATAAAAATCAGAATTTTGCACATTTTGTCAAATTTCTCGAATACGGACCATTTCAGGAAATTTTGACATAACACAAAAATTATAAATAATAATATTAGAAGTAACTTTTATTTGAACAATTTTCTTCTCCAAACATAAATAACAGATATATTCCATAAAATATAAAAACGGCCTCCAATAAAGTACTTCCCCCAGATGTTCCGACTTTGTCCAAAATCTAATCATTTCACGTCAGGCCGAAATAAAACTTAAGTTTAAAATTTAATGTTTTTTTCTTTATCTGTTTTTGAGTTTTCTTCAAAATTCAAAATTTACACATTTTATCAAATATCTCGAATATGATATGGTCCATTTTAGAGAAATTATGTATAGAATAAAAATTATAGAGAATTATATTTCAAACAACTTTTATTTGAACAATTTTTATAAAAAATATTTTTTTTTACATTTTGTCAAATTTCTCGAATACGGACCATTTTAGAAAATTTTTGTATAGAACAAAAAATATTGATAAAAATATTGTAAGTAACTTTTATTTGAAGAATTTTCTTCTCCAAACTTAAATAACAGATATATTCCATAAAATATAAAAATGACCACCTATAAAGTACCCCCCTACTGCAGTTGATAAGATTAATCAAGATCTTAAAAAAATTGATAACTATTCGTCTGATCATAACCTTCACATTAATGCTTCGAAATCCAAACTATTATTATTCTGTAGTAAAAATATTAGACAATATATAAAGAACAATACAACTCTGATGATATCTGGTGAATCTATTCCACATGAAACTGAGTCTATAAATTTAGGGTTATACTTTGACGATCAAATGAGGTTCAGTCAACATGTCAACTATGTGTTACAAAAGTGTTATAGTGGTCTTCGCTTGCTTTATTCTAATAAACACATCCTACAGAACCAATCTATAAAACTAAAACTTTGCCAAAGCCTTGTAATTTCAAAAATATTATATGGAATTGTTGTGTATTATCCTTGTTTAACAGCTGCTGATCGTAACCGTTTGCAAATTATGCAGAATACATGCTGCAGATTCGCAAAAGGACTTAGAAAATTCGATCATATTTCCCAAGCCTTCTCCCAAACTGGCTGGCTGACTGTTAATAATTTATATATATTTATGTTCCTTTCTTTTCTTTTTAAAATTCTTTCTACTGCGTCACCATTATATCTTATGAGCAAATTAACTTTTAGATCGTCTACGCACAATGTAAACATAAGAAACAATTTTAATTTATCAATGCCTCGTCACTCTAGTGCTATTTATAATCGTAGTTTTTCGTATAACGCGGTTGTTCTGTACAACACTTTACATACTGATATTAAAAAATCACGATCTCTACCTGTTTTTAAAAATGCTTTAAAAAGGCAACTCTTTATTAGTCAAATGTAAACTGGTAGATATAATGAGCTACTAATGTCAAATTGTATTGATAAACTTTTAATATTATAGTTATTTAAATGTATATGTTTTGTTAGGGTTAGGTGTAAGAATAGCCACAGGCTAAACCTCGCCCATGCTAACTGTACAAAAATGTAATTATTTTGTGCAAATAAAGACCCGTTATTATTATTATTATTATGTTCCGACTCTGCTCAAAATCTAATATTTTCATTGAACGCTGAAATAAAGCTTAAGTTTAAAATTTAGTGTTTTTCTGTGTATCGGTTCATGAGTTATGGTGGATACAGACACACACGGCAATTTTACCCTAAACTCCCCCTAATTCACCCACCTAAGATGATCAAAAACTGGGGTTTAGTCCAATAAATGGAGCGTAAAAAGGTAAGTATTTGTACCAAATTTTACCTAATTATCTTTAAATGTTTAGAAAATATTTACAAAAGTGTGGTATCAGGACTTCACCTTTAATCTCGGAAAAGTAAAGTTTTCGGACCTATGTTTATATAAACTTTTACTACTATTTTAGGATGTAGATTACGCTGTTAAAATATGACCTTCTAATTTCAGGACACACCCTGTATATCATCTATAACTATCAATAAATAAAAAATATTTGAGTTGTTTGCTTTAAAAATAGTATTCCTATATTCTTATAATATTAACAAGCCACTAAACCCCCCAGTAGGCGGCGATACCCAACGAATTACTTCGCCAATTGATGACATACCTGTGTTCATGTAATTGTAATCGAACCCTACCCAATATGATTATTCTTCAGCGCACGACACACAACGTTGCCTTTATGTAGCGAACAAGGTTCCAAATACTTTAAGGGGAGGTCGTGAGATCCGTGCGGTGTGACGTCAGAAGGGATTGGATTGCTGATAAGTTTTATTTCGGCCTGACATAAAATGATTAGATTTTGGACAAAGTCGGAACATCTGGGGGGTACTTTATGGGAGGCCGTTTTTATATTTTATGGAATATATCTGTTATTTATGTTTGGAGGAGAAAATTCTTCAAATAAAAGTTACTGCTAATATTATTATCTATAATTTTTGTTTTATGCCAAATGTTCCTTAAATGGTCCTTAATCGAGAAATTTGACAAAATCTGCAAAATTCTGATTTTAAAGAAAATTGTTAAATTAAAAGTTGTTTGTGATATCAATCTTTATAATTTTTGTTTAAACATGATTTTTCTAAAATGGACCGTAATGGAAAAATTGTAGGAAAAGTGCTATATTAAAATTTTTCAGTATTTTCGTTTTCAATGAATATCTATGGAAAAATGTTTCGAGGTAAATGTATACATTTAGTTTATCCTCTAAACCTATAATAACTAAGCCTATAATAACTAGATAGGAAAGTCATGTGTTGGACACATTAGATTTTTTTAGCAATGGTTCTAAATTCCCATGTAAAAAATTTCAAATTTTATTTTTCTTTTTGATACATATATAAAAAATTTTGTAGTCCCATAATTTTTAGGTAGTATGGAAGTCCAGAAATTCAAAAATTTCTGTGTACACAATTTATCTAATACGTTTTTGCAGAAATTAAGAGCATACCAGACCCCTCGTGAAAAGCAAAATTGTGAAGATTTTAATTTAAAATTTATAAGCACGCCACTGGGAATACCTTGCAATGTTATGTGTCTCAAGAATATTGATAGCTTTAAATTTGTGCAATGATAAGGCATCACTCTACAGAGACATTTAAGAAAAAAGGAAGGAAACAAACAATAAGCAACAAATTTCCGTATATTTAATACGAAATGGCATGTAAATGTCTTTTTTATTTCTTTAAAAATCTTCAAATACTTTTCAAAAGTTTACAAAAAAATCAAGGTTACTCCACTCTAAAGTTTGTTATTATTTCATATATTTCACAAAAATTGGACTGAAAATAGAGGCGCAGAAGGAATTAGAAATGTTCAAGTTGTTCGGTTGGCTCTTAAATAATCTGTCTAACATACCATACCATTTTATTCAAGAAAAGTTTTATACCTAATTAGATATATTTCATTGGGAAATTTAAAAATTTAACAAAACATTTTGTGATAAAATAATGTTCCTATACATTTGTTGTCATAATCATTCTCATTATATACATAGAAAAAAATATAGTGATATTTTCTCCTGAAAAAAGCATGGTTTGTATGTTTCTCTTGCTATAAGCAATAGAATATTCCATAAATTAACATAAAGCAATAAAAGTGCATAAAAATTGATAGAAAACAATTATTTAAAATAATTACCTGTTGGATTGTGAGCACATGCATGCAGAATAACAACAGAATCTTTAGGTGCATTTTTTAAATCCTCAATTAAACCATCAAAGTCTAATCCACGTGTACTAGGATTCCAGTAACGGTACTCCCGACCCTCAGCGAATCCAGCATTTTTGAAAATTAAAAGATGATTTTCTAAAAGAGAAAAAAAATTAATGGTTGATCGTAAAATTGAAAATCAACTTACCCCAAGTAGGTTTTGAATAGTAGAATATTTTCTTTCCTAAAACTCTTGCAAGAAATTCAGCTCCAACTCTCAATGATCCAGTTCCAGAAAGGCATTGAATTCCAAAAGCCTAAAAACTTTAACTTTAGAACAAAGTACTTGGCATATATGATATCAGCAGTTTATTTTATAATTAATCTGAAATTCTATTAATTTGTTAAACATTCTTTAACATTTATTAATAAATTACCTTTTTGGAAATAAGGGCTGGAGAATCAAGTCCTAATAATAAATTTGTAGCTGCAATACTAAATGACTCTAAACCCAAAATCGGCAAATATTCCTTATTTAAAGAGTCATTATCGGCTAATTTTCTTTCAACATGTCGTACAACAGGAAGAACCCAGGGCTTGCCTTCTGCTGTCCGGTATGCTGCACAAAATAAAAGCGGGGTTTAATAAAGGCGTTTTCGACAATTTTAAACGGAAATAATCCTCAACTGGCTAATCTTTACCTGCCTAAACTCAAAATTACCCTGAAATGTATTACGTCAAGTCTATATAAATACCTTATTTCCTATAGAATTTAATGGCTTACCTCCAACACTCAAATTGACTTTTTTTTCAAACGTGTCTTCGTTGAAGGCCTTGATAAGAGCAAAAACCTCCACTGGAGGACCCAATTCTACTTCGGAAAACCAGGACATTGTTTCCGGAATATTTATTAAAAACCTTAATACAAAAAATAAATACTGTAAGTTGCCGGTAAACAAGCACTAACTATTAAAATATTTAAAATAAAAATCTTAGCCTTTATGACCTACTTATTATACAAGACAAGGTCAAAAGTCAATACAAATACAAATTTTATCTAAAATTTTATCTTATTATGTCATTACTGTCATTAGTTTCGATTGTTTGATCAATCATTGTATCGATTTAAATTAATCGATTTGAAACTGGAATCGATTTACATTCTACATTGCAAAAAGGAAGTGGCTAATCATCCGGACTTCCAGGAGTACCAGAGAGTACCGGATCACATAACAGGGTCCATTCTGTATTAATTTGCAGAGTTGGCTAATTCCTATATAGTTAAAAAGTAATTAATTTTTACAATTACTTTTTTTCATGCAATTTGTAATTGTATTTACGTACTTTTTTTCTCAAAGTAATTTGGAATTGTAATGGGCCCGTTCACTTTCATTTTTGAATGTGAATTGATTATATATTTATAAAGATATTAAACTCTTTTGTCTGGTGGTACTTTTCCCGTAAAGATATTTTTGCTAGAAGTAAGGGAATTCCCATAAAATTCTTTCAGTGACTCATTGCGTCAGAAAATCCCTAATTCCGTTCACGTCTCGTATCGGTTATGCTTAAAGACGGCGAGGTTGTCGGAAGTATCCCTAATATAGCATTTCTGCATTTATATGTAATTTAAATAGTAAAATTCCATTATTTTTCTAAAAATCATGAACTTATATTTTCAGATTTAAAGCTGGGAGCTTATTTTTTACTTTTTAATTAAAACAATTATTATTACTCAGGCTGAAAATTAACCAGACCATAATCAAAAAGTAGAAATTTGATTTGCAATATTTATCTGGTAAACGTGGCAACGTTGCATTTATTTCTAGAAGTGTGTGTAGACAACACTATTTAGAAGTACTTACAACGTTGTCACGTTTACCAGATACATTTTCTCAAATAAAATTTGGATCTGGTAATATTCAGCTTGAGTAATACTAATTGTTTTTATTAAAATTTAAAAAAGGTAAGCCTTCCAGCTTTATATGAAAATATAAACACATTATTTTTAAAAAATAATATTTTTTTATCATTTAAATTTCTTTAATAAATGCAGAAGAGGAATGGTGGTGCAATGATACATCCGACAACCGCGCCCTTTTAACTATTAACCGATACAACACCTGAAGGGAATTAGGGGTTTTCTGACGCAATGAGTCACTGAAAGAATTTTATGGGAATTCCCTTACTTCTAGCAAAAATATTTTAACGGGAAAAGTACCACCAGACAAAAGAGTTTAATATCTTTATAAATATATAAATAATTCACATTCAAAAATGAAAGTGAACGGGCCCATATGGATTTACTTTCGGTAGGTATTTATTAATTTAATTAAGTTTTGCCACATTTTTTTTGGGTTGTTAATATTGTTGTTGATTTTGTTTTTAAAGTATTCTGATTTTTTGTTTTCACGCAAATTAACAACCGGATTTTTAGAAGACCTATAACATTTCCAATGAAACTCTCGATCACTAGAACGATGTTTAAAATATATATAATAGTTGCATCATTATTTAGTCAGCTCTTTAACTTTACAATCATACCAAGGAAGCATATTATTTGCAATATTATGTTTTTAAGGTTGCAACTTTGTTAACCTCATTTTCTAATGTGTTCATTATTTCTAAGGAAATTGCGTTCATATACACGGTATCTAGGTTCCAATTACAATTTAGTAAATGATCATTTAGCTTTTCTAATGTTTCTGGATTAAAGCTTTTACACCATATGATTGACTATTTTTGTATTATTAAATAAATGTATCACTAATACAAACGAGATACAAATTATACTATGATCAGAGTGTGGATGGAGAGAGAGCTTATGGTATTTTGCCTGTTAGAAAGTACAAAAGCCAGTAATGTTTTGCTATCTTTAGTTATTCGTGTAGGCTCATTGATAAGATATTTGTCATTGAAATAAAAGATTTAAATCTATTTACATACCTGTCAGAAGTCTTTAAATAATACGAGGGCCATTCAATAAGTAAAGAGACAAATTCTATAATTTTAAAACTATTCAATGAATGTGTACAACACACTAGCTCTCCAGTTCGCAAAAAATTCAAGGTTCAACCTTCCGCCGGTTAAAGTGATGCTGACCATCTTTTGGGACTCACAGGGTCCAGTCTATTGCGATTTCCTTGAAGATCAGCGAACTATCAATACCCAATACTACTCTGAGATGCTAGAACACAAAGTTAGAACAGCTGTCAGGAGCAAACGCCGTGGATCTTGTCAAAAGGAGTCATTCTTCAGCACGATAACGCCCGCCCTCATACAGCCCAGCTGACCCGTGATAAGCTTCAAGAATTGGGTTGGGAGGTCTTACCTCATCCTGCCTACAGTCCCGACCTCACCCCATCTGATTTTTACCTTAATAGCCTTAATTTTGAAAGATTGAAATAAACCGGTTTTGAGCCATTTGTCTCTTTACTAAAATTTCAATACAAACATTGGTTGTTTTACTTAATACAACAAAGTAAGACAAACTTATCTAAAAATAAGTGCAACGATTTAAACTTGAGCATATTTTTTAAATTTCTATATCATTTCCTTTAATAATAGTTAAACAAGTAGGTCAATATCGTTTTTATTCAATATGTTGTAGAAAAGTAAAATCTTTTTATATAAAAATATAATTTATCTTCTTCTAACAAATTGTCATATATTTATGTTACATTACAGCATAAATAAAAATATTTCCAAGCCACATATGATTACAATAATAGTAGATTACACACCGAGGTGGGAAGAGTTTCATTCCTGTCGCGAGATTAATTAGATCACCGAGACGCGAAGCGTCGAGGTTAGCTATGATCTCGAGACAGGAATGAAACTTCCTACCGAGGTTTGTATACTATTTTATTTACAACCATCATATTTCGATCAAAGTTAATAAATCTCTGTTTTGTTCGGAACATACCTAAAATATTACATTTAACGACAAATTACCAAGCGCGCGGTTTTCTCAGAATAATCAAGTAGGTAAATATATTGTTACTGTGATTACAGGGTAAACAACTGTCACCAATATAAATAAATGTCAGATAAAGCCAGATATTAAATTCGCGAATAATAAATATCAATAAATAATTTGTTATATTTTAGTTCATTGTTGTTTTTTATTGTTTGCCATTAAATAGGTATTATAAAATTTGTCAAAAAATGTGTTATTTTTTTAAATATAAAAAATATTCATCTAGAATAGATAAAATGAGGGCGGGAAGTAGAGGTGTGTAATGTGACACTTCCCAACCTTTAATAACGTTAGTAATGACAACATTACATATATGGTTGTATATAAAAGAATATTTATCACCTTCGCATAAATAAACTAACATAATACAAATATAGGTACATTTCTATACTATAATACTTTAATTTTTTAAGTCTATAATAAAAATAAAGTATTACTGGTTGCATATTTAAATGGGCCCGTTCACTTTCATTTTTGAATGTGAATTATTTATATATTTATAAAGATATTAAACTCTTTTGTCTGGTGGTACTTTTCCCGTTAAAATATTTTTGCTAGAAGTAAGGGAATTCCCATAAAATTCTTTCAGTGACTCATTGCGTCAGAAAACCCCTAATTCCCTTCAGGTGTTGTATCGGTTAATAGTTAAAAGGGCGCGGTTGTCGGATGTATCATTGCACCACCATTCCTCTTCTGCATTTATTAAAGAAATTTAAATGATAAAAAAATATTATTTTTTAAAAATAATGTGTTTATATTTTCATATAAAGCTGGAAGGCTTACCTTTTTTAAATTTTAATAAAAACAATTAGTATTACTCAAGCTGAATATTACCAGATCCAAATTTTATTTGAGAAAATGTATCTGGTAAACGTGACAACGTTGTAAGTACTTCTAAATAGTGTTGTCTACACACACTTCTAGAAATAAATGCAACGTTGCCACGTTTACCAGATAAATATTGCAAATCAAATTTCTACTTTTTGATTATGGTCTGGTTAATTTTCAGCCTGAGTAATAATAATTGTTTTAATTAAAAAGTAAAAAATAAGCTCCCAGCTTTAAATCTGAAAATATAAGTTCATGATTTTTAGAAAAATAATGGAATTTTACTATTTAAATTACATATAAATGCAGAAATGCTATATTAGGGATACTTCCGACAACCTCGCCGTCTTTAAGCATAACCGATACGAGACGTGAACGGAATTAGGGATTTTCTGACGCAATGAGTCACTGAAAGAATTTTATGGGAATTCCCTTACTTCTAGCAAAAATATCTTTACGGGAAAAGTACCACCAGACAAAAGAGTTTAATATCTTTATAAATATATAATCAATTCACATTCAAAAATGAAAGTGAACGGGCCCATTGCAGCAAAATATGTGGAGGCATTAATTGTATTTTGTAATTATATTAATTTATATTATTTAAATTGTCTAAATACAATTACTTGTCATAAGTACAATTACTTTTTTAATTACAATTACTTTTCCAATTACAATTACTTTTTCATTTACAATTACTTTCCAGTTACAATTACTTTTTAATTACAATTACATTTATAAGTACAATTACATTTTTTTAATTACAATTACTTTCAAATGCGTATTTATGAGATGCACGTGATGTAAAAACAAGAAATTTCCTATTCGAACCACGAACCTGCCACTAGAGCTCGGCCACGCATCCATATCATTTGTTTGAATGCATTTGAGGAAAGCGTTATGCCGTGAAGCAGTGAAATTGTTTAATCCAAAATAATAACAGTAAGGGTTAAATAGATGCATATATCCTTATTTTTAAGACGTATTTTGTATTTATATTATAACCATAATTTATGTTGCATAAACATTATAAACTAAGGAACTATAGTATGAAGCGGTGCAAATAGCAGTCTTTATGGGGTAAACATTAAAAACTACTTATTTACGTTGCATAGGTATTTCTAGTTATTATTCTAGTTTTCTACAATGAAATGAAGGATTAACTATTTTAATAAACGTATTTGAAGTTACTTTAGCGCTACGTAGAAAATGCAATAAACTAATTAAAATAATAGCACTTGTAACGGAATATAAATATATTTTATGTTATAAGAAATTATTTGATGATGTAGATCTATGACCAAATTTAAGTGAAACGTGTCTCATTTTTGTTTGTACGAACGAGATACAGAAAGAT